CCTGGAATCTGCCCAGCAAATTAATTGAGTTTCACTTCATCACTTTATTTTGGGTCCCCCACTCACTGGATTGGTCACTGACATCAATAAATTTTTCCTTTAACTCTCACTGCCCTAATTCAGACTCTGATTATTTAAAGGCCACAAAAGTCACAATACCTGTAATCAATTGCCTCTTAACCCTCTAAGTAGCTCTCTAAATGATATCCCTGTTTCAATTCTTCTAACTCATCTTACATATTGCAGACTGTCTTGTCCTCCAAAACCCTAGTGTGTTCATAGTCCCTTGCCTCCTAGTCAAACCCTTTAAAGATGCTCCTCTGCCCAGAGCTCAAATCCAAATTCCTCATCTGTGTATTTATACATTGCTCTATACAATGTACCATTCAAGTTCTAGCTCTCCAAACTCATCTTTATAAACCTCCTGCTCCAGCTACTCTGGCTCCATTTTTCCCATGATCATAACTGTGTGGGTCTGGAACCCACAGGGGGAACCTCCACCCCTACCTCAGGTAACCCCTTATCCATTTAAGTCTTACCAGTTCTCAAGGCCCAGGTCAATGTCCATGTTCCCACAGGAGCTTTCCTGACTACAACTGTCTTCAGCATCATTTTTCTCCATTAAATTATTCCTGCAGTACTATTATCTATTCCATTTATGGGGAATGCTATTTTTTATACACATTCCTCATCTTTTAAGTGTCTAGCCTAATCCCTTACACACATCAAAACACATCTGTGTAAGGGGCATGGCGCTATTTGAATGACTGTGTTCATGGGGGATGATGATACTGCTATCAGTAAAGGACCAACAGTACTCAGAAGCCGCTTCCTCAGTAGAGGGCTGACTATGCAGAATTGATGGGATGGTAGTGGGTAGCCATTCTGGGCATTTATAGGGCCTGGCTTAAGAGGTACATTAGTACCCTCTCATCTGACGTTTCAGTTTCAGTTACCTGTGGTCAACTGTGGTCTGAAAATATTACATGAAAAATTCCAGAAATAAACAATTCATAAGTTTTAAAATTGCATGCCATTCTGAGTAACATGATGAAATCTCGAGCTATCCAGCTCTATCAGCCCAGGACACAAATCATCCCTTTGTCCAGTATTATCTACACTGCCTGTGCTACCCACCTGTTAGCCATTTCTGTTACCAGACTAAAAAACATAGCATATATAGGGTTTAGTACTATCTACAGTTGCATCTGCTAAGGGCCTTGGTATACATCCCCCGTGGATAAGGGGGGACTACTATAGTGAGTAGCTTAGGGGAGGACAAACAAATGAAATCTTTGGTTTGGGTAGGATTTTGGAAGCCAGATTCAAAGTGACTCTATGGTTCTACCTTTAGTTCATCTAGTTTATGCTGCCATTACTGAGCAAACGTGCTCCATCTCTCTTACCTGTCCCTCTATTCAGATTCTTCTCCAGGGCTTCGAATGCCCTTCCTCCCTTCTCTATCTTCTCTATTGTGCTCTGCCCCACATCTCTCAAGGCTCAGCTTCAACTTCCACCTCTACCACAGGGCCTCCAGCCTTTAGTGGGATAATTATTTATTCTTCTTGTTGAACCACTGACAAAGGGACTTTATTATCACTGCCAGTGTGAAATGATTATCACAAGCTTTATCCTGCTCACTACTCCCCATTGCTTTACCCAGCTCTTCCCAATTAAGTCAATTTCTCTCCTCTGTACATACACATTGTAGTCATATTCCAGTCTCTGATTCCCTTGTCTAACAGCCTAACAGTTTCATCTTGTACCGAGAGTATGCTTTAAAATAGACTACTCGTGAGATATGCAGTAAGCATGCAAATCCCTAGAGGGCTCTAGGTCACCTCTGCAGCACTGCCAGCCTCTAAGATTCTGATATAGGTGGCAGAGAGATAAGCTTCAAAGCCTGATCTTTCATATCACAAGGTGACAGCCTTCCTACTAACACTCTCATTTTCAACTGAGGGCAGGTTTTATACAACCAATGCTCCAGGGGGAACATATCCCAAACCTGAAAAATGGGCTTCCCCCTGACACAGCCCTTTTAAACATAGGGCTAAAAGAATCACCGGGGATAAAAAGCCAGGTTCAAAATCTTGGCAAAACACACAATCTAACACTTTCTACAGAGAGTCTTATGGCTGACTTTCTCAGCCACGTGCTTAATTATCTCACACTGACTCCAGGCCGGCAATGTGCAACCTTGTGACCATGTGGCTTGAGTGGAGAGATTCCTCAACTTGGCAAAACTTCAAAGTCACTTACTACTTCTGCTGAGTCCAGTCAACTAAATCCCAAACCCTTATCACCTTGGGACTCATGACCTTACTGTTCACCCCATCACTGAGGTTTCTAAGAAAGAGGGGTTTAACTCTACCAGATAGCAAGTTCGAGAATACCAGTGTGGCCACGGCAATGGCACACGGTTAGGAAACCGGTGGCTAAGATTCTTCCACAGAACTCGGGGGCTAGAACAGATCTCACTTACTTGTATGGTGTCTTCCTGAGGGACAAGGTCTGTTTCATGTGCCTGCTCTGCTTCCGCAAGCTGATTTTCTCATGGGAGGTCAGGCCCAGAAAAGCAATCTGAAAAAAGAGGTTGGAAGGTACATGAAAAAAAGACCACAGAATGGCTCCATCACAGGAAATGGGCAAACATATAGTACTCCCCCAAAGATAATACTCTCTAGCCTCTAACCAAGGACCATGGTGAGGACAGAGATTCAGCAGCCATAATCTATACTCTCTTATGAAAATCTAAGAGATGGGCATTTTTTATTTTTTTGGTTGTCTAATTTTTATTCAAGAAAAGCACTGTGCATTGACTAACAGTCATGAAATAATTGCTTTATTAATTCAAGTAATGTCTTATGGTCATGTTTAGATGCTCAACAAATTCAGCATGCAACTTTTAGATGAATGAAACAATCTAAGGTCAGTACCAGTGCAAATACCTCAACCTGTGTGTTCTTAGTACCTTTTTGAAAAGGGCCAAAGAAAAAGTTAATAACCAGAAGAGAAGAACATTTAAATCCATAAATTTGGGGAAGAGTAAGAATTAAGGTGACTTAAAAATTCTCATATCAACAAAATCCCCAATTATTCTGTTGTCTCATTTAATCCTCAAAACAACTCAACCATCAAGTCCCTTATCTGTAAAATGGGCCTCATCACACCATCCCTCATCCTATTGTTTTAAGGATTTGGGAAAATATATTTAAAATACCAAATGCAGAGGCTTAGAGAAGTGAAGTAATGGGTCCAAGGCCACAATCTTCTGGGACTGACACCTCGGTCAGTGTGAGAATAAGCCCATGCTCCTGACCAGAAATCTGTACACTCAGTTTGAATTATAGTCAAAGCCATGACTAACCATAGCACTCAGGAAATGCAAGTTTTCAAAGTACTATATTGTTTTGTTCATTAAGAAACAATTTTGTTCTAAATTCTCATTTTTGATTATTATCTGAAACTTTGAGTCCATTTTTCTGCCTTTTTATAAAGTATAGAAAAATATATTAACCTTTCTTTACAAAATTAAGGATATTATAGTCTCATATACTTATACTTGTTCTAAGAATCCAGAAAAAAGAGAATTAGAATTGATGTTTCAAATCTTGGGTTCTAATTTTTACTCCGTCTCTTACTAGGCCTATGGTTATAAGCAGGGCACTCAACATCGCTTAGGTTTAGTTTTATCATCCATAAAATAGAGACATTACTTTGGCATGGTCTACACCTCAAATGCTTGTGAGGAAATAGATGGGGGAATGCTTTGAAAAAATAAACAAAGCACAAATAAATAATAGTATAAATGATATTATTAATCTTCACTGATGCCAATATCCATTCTTGCTACCTGAGTCTGTTGATGTCAGAAGGATAGACGATTAGAATGAATATTCAGAAATCTCAGTTTAGTCAATATTATTAACTTAATTCCTTTCCTTAACATCTTTTTCTTTTTCCCTCCTTCTTTCTTATTGTTATTATTTTGAAACTGGTTACTTCCCCATAAAGTGGAATACACTTTGCTTTGTTTGAGTAATGTTCTAATTATCTGTGGTCTTGCAGTAATTGACTCAGATCGATCACTGCCTGCTGTGCCCATTCCATGTTGGCAGGACACAGCAACAATGAGAATTAGGTTAGGCTCACAGGAGAAGGAAGGTGGCAGGGAAGGGACAGAAGCTTCAGAGAAAACTGAAAGTGACTACAGCCCTGGAGTTTGAACTTTCTAATGGCCATGGCCTGCTCTGAAAACGTAATTACTATGTCCACTGGTTAGTAATTTATTTTTCATTTTTTTCCATTCCCATCCACTTAAGCACTGCATTGTAACAAGTGTAACATATAGGGTTGGAAAAACTTAGGGAAAATAATCATCTCACATTTGCATGATGCTTTACAGTTTATATCATTCTTGCACACACCATATAATTTAATTGTATGATAGAAAAATCCCTTAAATGGAACTGTCAGAGGACCTAAATCTCCAGTTCTGATTCTGCCACACCCTGGGTAACCTTGAACAATTCAATTCACCTCTCTATACCTCTATCTGCAAAATAAAGAGGTCAGATTAGATAACTCCTAGGTCTGGCTCTAACAATTATTTAATATCATGCTAAGCTTTAAACCATCCTGTGAGAGTACACAGGCATTATCATCCTCATTTTACAGGCAAGGAAACTGAAATTCAACAGTGGTCAAATACCATGCCTGGACCCACAGAGGAAGTGACAGAGGTGAAACTAGAATCTACATCTTCTGATTATTAATTCAAGTCCTTCTACCTCACTACAGGTTATTGGAGATTTTACTCAAAGGCATTATAAGAAGAGAAAAAAATACCTGAAAGAGTTGATTTAATAATAAAAATGTTGACCATGAGAAATGGAAAGCTGCTAGCATGAAGATATACAAAACCCAAGGGGAACAGGCCACAATCTGAGTGAGGTAAGTCCATAGTCCATCTTCTTTGAATGTTGTGGCACAATGATTTGACCAATCTGTGAAATCAGAAAAAAAGGGAACTCATTAAAAAAGACAACAAACTCATGACTATTCTCCAAGAAGATAAAAGCACTGTAGTTGTATTTAGGGAGAAGAGAAAGCAAGACATGATGACACAAGTCAGAATTCAACTTTAGTATCCTAACTTACAAATGCCAGCTCAACTACTAAACATGAGAAAATGGTGCCTTGATGTTAATTAAGGCTGAAATAACACTACATCAGTAGTTGACGGTGAAGGAATAAAAGTAAAAAAAGTCCACAAAACCTTTACTGACATCAGTACATGCAGCATAAAATGCACCAGCCAGAAGTTAACTGTTCAAGGACTTGACAACTGAGAATGATTATGTCTAATAAATTAAATATTTGTCCTAGAAAAGTCTCTATCTTATCCATGTTATAGCAAGGTATGGGTCTGTCACAGGACTGAATATAAATTGTTATTAAGGGTTCGGATGAATAGGCCATTGCTGTGGGTACAAGATATTCTATTAGTATAAACACCTAGACACCATCAGAACACAATATAACAGCATGCAGGAAGCTGGGCGTGAATGTAGTTCTGCACTGGCACCATAACTAATCCTGCAGAGGAAGAAAGGCCAGGTAAAGGAACTTCATGAGGCAGATACCCCAGGAAAGGAGTACAGAGCAAGATTCAGGTGGTCACAACTCAGTTTCTCTCCCAGGAACATATATGCCAATTAAAAGAGAGGACTTCACTACAGCCTTCCTGATACCGTCCCCTACCCCATCCAGCTAAGAGCAGCAGTAAAAGGAAATATGGATAGGCAGCAACAGAAACAAGGGAACGGATCTTCAAGGTTATGTAAATCCAATGACTTTTATAGGCACCAGGACTGTGCATAAAGGGTAAATTATTTTTGAAATGAGAATTCTATAGATTTGCACCTCCAGGTTTCATAAATGCCTCTGACAATCTGAGAAGTAATTTTAGACATGCTCCCAAAGCAGCTCTGAAGAGCTCCTGGGAGAGCAAGAAAATGAGTACATGACTTTACTGTCAACTATCTGTCCATTTAAGTCCTAAAAATCTATTTTTTTTTCTCTTTGAGTCTCATTTGATTCCCAACCATCTTTCAAGAATATATGCCAGAAGAATTCTAAGAGCAATCATTATAAAGCAACAATCAAGGTAACAAGGCAAATTACACTCTCTTTAGAGCTTCTCATTAGGATAGCAAAGAAAGACACATCCCATGCACCTGATATCACAAAAAAGAATATAATTTCTAACAGCAGGTAGAGAAAACAGCTTTTGAGTGGGAAAGAATATCTACTTTCTGTCTTTCAGATTATGGATTTATACTGCTCCCTTCTGGGAATTCTTTGGATAACACAACATGACCACACACTAAAGTTTTCAAGAGTACTAATTTCAGATTCAACATCAGAGATATGACTGCAAATTGTCATGCACATTATTTTATGCAATATTAACACTTTAATTTATGCTGATACATTCTTATCAGGTGGCCAATGCTGATAGGGAACTCATGTAGCCCCAAGTCAATCATTTTCATCTTTAGATAGTTCTGACAAAGTTCTTTCTGATACTGATCTATAATCTTCCTATAACTTGTAGGATGTTGACACTTTCTGAGTAACTTACTATCCACCTTGAAAACAGACCTCACAAAAGATGAAATGGATGGAGGCTATACAGAAGTAGCAGCTGTGGGATCACACGAGAAGGAGGTATACAGCATGACTCTAGCAATAAAAGTGTTAATGGTAAACAAAGGAGGTGGGATGAGAGTGATGCCTCATTAGAGAAATGGAGCACAAGTTCATGTTTCCTGTCTGCAAAATAATGATAAATGACATGATGTCCTCACTCAATATAAAGAAATGTTGCCAGAATATAAATAGAATAAAAGTAACAAAATATGCTCAGCTAGTTTATACAGTTGTAAGTGAATATAAGGTGAGACTATTCCTAAGAAACAAAATATAATATAAAAATTGGTTCAGAACCAGAGAAAAGAGACAAAAAATAGGGAAGAATCAATGTGTGTAGCAAAAAACTAACTTGGAAAGACTGTGATGGAAAATCACTTCTGTCCTTATCAATAGTCTTATGCTGGACCTAGACACCGAACAAAAGTGACTATTTTTAGTGAGGAGAGAGGGGAGGAGAAACAAGAACGGTATAAAGTTGGCTCCTCTTCCCTAGGATCCAGTCCAAGAGACAAGTTGGTCCATGAGCCAACCTAGAAAGGTTTTCCAGGAATATGCTTTATTGTCAGGCCTTAAAAAGGCAGCTTTCTAAACAGAAAGAAACCTGTCGAAATCTTTTATTTCTTACGCTACAAGACATAATCTAAGAGGTTTTAAAAGTCTAATGTTTAGGGGTACTAGTGGCCTTTGATAAGAACTGAGCTTAGGGATCACAACCTTTTCACTATTAGACCTATTTAAGATGATGAAGGTACATTTAGCTACAAAAGCATTCCTCAGTGAGCAGAGACACCCCAGGGGTCACATGGGAAAGGCTCTGATGAGGTAACTAAAAGCCTTGCCATGCCTATGGCAGGGCAAAAAATAACCTATTACGCATAAATACTAACGATCTCTAAAAATGAAACCCCAAACAAAACAAAAGTTGTAATACTAGATGTTTCTAGGTAGGGAAACTGGGATGCTGGGAGACAAGTGTAGAAAAATTATGCTTCAAAAACTAAACAAAATTTAAACTAAAGAAAGCCAGAGAGAGAAAGAGAGACAATGAATGTGTGTGTATTGGGGCTTAGGAGGCTAAGGGAAAAAAACTTCATGTCTTTCTGAATTACTCCAGATTTCAGCTCAAGCAACAAATTGGAGCTCTACTGGTAAAGTCTAAAACTTGAACACAAATGTAACAGGAGAGTGGATAGAAACACATTAAAAGTGAAGCCTGTGCTTCTAGAGCCAAATTCTCCCAAAGCCTTCAAGATAAATAAATAACAAACAATTAACCAAAAGTCCAAATAAATAAACTATAAGCATTATAGGCAAATAAATAAACTACAAGCACTATAGGTTTTTCCAGTTAGGTAACCTATTCCAAGGTCTGAAAAGCAATCATGCAATTCTTAAGAGCTAACCCAAATTTTTCTTGCTTTAATTTAAATCCTGTCCTTCCTAGTCAATCACATCAGAACAGCTGGCTGTCATTCCCTACATAAGACTCCTAGACACTTTTTAAACTGCTAGTGAAAGTTACTGTCCTTTTTCACAGCTACAGAATAAGTGACCTAACATTCTCTTTCAAGTTATTATTCTCAACCTTTCAATTGCTAGTTTTCCAGTCAGTTCTCAGTTTCAACTTGATACTTATCAAATAGCATGTGCTTTCAGAGCTTTGTTTCTTAGTTTCTGTAGCCACCACTCGCCAACCTCTCTGCTAATGATTTTTTTTTCTGTTTTATTTACCTATCACCTCCCACTGTGTACTTGAGCAGCTAACTTTTCCTGGGGGACAAATCTGTGCTTGCCTTAAATGAATTTCTATTTTTGACCACTTCTCAAATTTATCAAGGTTCTCTTCCAAAGGACTGAGAACTAACGTCCTCTAGCATTACTTGCAGCTTCTCAATGCTGAGTCTTAGAGGCATCCACATAGTTTTTATTAGGGGTACAGTTTATAGTAACCTGGCCCCAATGTGATACACAAGAAAGAGTAAAGTGTGTGGGTTCTAAGAAAAATCTATACTTACAGATGAAGGATCCATATATAATCCAGTCACATACCAAGGAAAGGAAAAACAAGAAGAATATGTAATAGTGATGGTTGCCAAAACCTAAATCAAAGAGAAAATAAACATACTTAATACTTTCTTTTCTTATAATGATTTTTCAGATAAGACTTCCCTAACCACTTTCCTATTAAAAGCTTTCAGTAAAACAGAACTAATGCTGGTGCTTTGCTTTTAAATACCATTAAAGCAAACCAAACAGTTCTGCTATGTCATAGTGAATTGTCTGTGTTAACTGAACTAATATTTATTCATTACTTACTTAAAAGATACTTTTTTTTTTAACAGAAGAAAGTTAACAGAGCAAACACAGCTCCAGGCTGGCCTCTCCTGTGTTGGCAGGAAGGGAGCAGACATGAGTTTGGGCAAATACAACCCTGTTTCTTTCTTCCTTTTGTGTAACATGTTTATAAAAGTACAATCTCTGAACATCAAGGATTGACTTGATTGGAGGAACGGAGAAAATGAATCTGAGGAGTAGCAATATACATTGCAGGAGACTGGATGTAGCAAAGAGGGACAACCTGCAGCCTGTGAAAGGTCTACAGAATGGAAGAAAGGAGGAAGGGCAGGGCAGCCAAGCCTCTCTCTTGCATGTGCTTCCTTCTTGATGCTGGAGATGGGAGAGTTCCAATGCAAATAACACAAATGCTCAAGGGCCCACCTTCTCCTGAAGCAGCAAAGGCCAATAAAAGGAGCAATACCCATTGGAATCAGGAGACCCAGGTTTACAGATTATTAGTTGTGTCATGTAATATGGAGATAGGCCTTTTCTGTCTACATCACAGCCCTGTGGCACCCAAACAGGATGATGCATATGAAAACACTGCGTTAAATGCAGTGTGATAAAGATGTATGGGCTCATTGCTATTGGAATATTTGAATACTGAAAATGGAGTCCTTGAATGCCCTTCCACTTTTTCTAGGAGTCACACATATAATTAAACATATGCTTAAACCTCACCATGGTAACTGAAAAATTAAACCTCTCACCTACGCACCGTCCAGTCCACAGGCAGTGTTGATCATACCGAGCCACACAGAAGTTGCACACATGGCAGTGGAGTGACCGTAATGGCTTCCTTATCTAAGTGGGCAATCAAGAGAGGCCTAAGCAAAAACCAGTGTCTCAAAGTGGTAACAAATCACAAGCAAAATTTTAACCCTAGGTCATAAAGACATCAGCACAAACCATCCTAAATAGACCATCAATTCATACAGAGGCTCTGGAGTGTCTTATTAATATTTACTTCCATATGTCTACCTTGATTAGGCCACCACTAAGGGCAATGTGAATTCCAGAGGCTAGTTACACTGGCTAAGGGGAAATGAGGCAGTACCATAGAGCAAAATGAGCACGGAACTAAGAAAAAGGAAACCTGAGCTCCATTTCTAGCTCCACCAGTAATTTGGGGGAATTTATTTTCTCCCTTGATTCCTCAATTGCAAAATAAGAGGTTTCACTAAGTGGTTTCCTTGGCCATTATGAATTATAAGCCTCTGACTTGAAGATAGTTCTAATATATGCTTTGTGACAGGAAAAGCAAGCAAAACACACTATGGATAATTCACAGAGAGACATAACCACAGGCAATTCAAAGAGATTATAAACATCATTCCTCCATATGTTCAAGACAGAAAACTGTTCTGACGATAACATAAAATTAGAACTGGGTAAAAACAAAGGTGTATAAATATACCATGATGATTTGACAAATGCTTACATGAGCAATATTACTGAGAATAATGCTTTTACTATGGAAAAAAAATTATACAGAAAAGACTCACAAGACATGATGTACAAAATGTTCTGAAGTCCAGACAGCCAGTTTCTGCAAGTGTGATGATATTCTGAAAGACATGAAGTTTGACCTTAGGACTGCATTTTATTGCAGAATGTATTATGCATTATGAACCATTCTCACTGCTCTCGCTCCAAACTGAAGAAGCTAGAAAAGCAATTTGGAATACTTGCCACCAAATCATTCTGTGCTTGAAATAATGTAACTCTTCAAGCCTGCTTTTTCAACCAATAGCCAATAAATTAGAACTCATAAAAATTACACATCCCTACAACTCCTGTCTACCACCTCCTTTCCGTTAATGGCAATCATCTCCCAGTTATAATCTGCTAGAGAGAAATAAATATGCACATGTACATACCCATTAAAGAAGAAACAAAACCCACCAGTATACATCCAAACTTAAGGTTACAAGCACCAAGGGCTGAGTCTTTCAGGAACACTGGCTTTAGGTAACAAAGACAATACTCTTCCCAACTTCTAAACATTCACAGGCAATGAAAAACATGCCATGTCATCTGACAACTTCACATTTGAGGAAAAGCAAGGGCATCCCCTCAGTTAATCAGGAGAAGGACTACCCGCTCTACCCGCTACACTACCACCACCTGGCCTTGGCCAAGTCCTTGCCTAGTCCATGTATTAAGTAGGGAAATTTAAGTTAAATGACCATTTTTATCTAAATGTTGTTATAAGGAAGTAGGAGATCATATGCCTAGCAGGAATCACATCTGAAAAAGTCTTGGTGGGTATAACATTAATTGAATATAAAAATATTTAAACTTTTACACACATAAATGAAAAAATAATAACAGCAGAGAAATCTCATTCTTACTGATTTAATTATCTCACATGTCATGCAGCCATGACAAAAACCAACATGGCTGTGACTTTCTGAAGTTTACATACACTCCTATTAAAATATCAGTAGCAAAGAAAGCTCACCAATTTCTTATCTTCTTCAGAAGCCTTACTGAAGCCTGGATCAGTTGCCCAAGTCTTGTAGAAAAAGTAGAGAAAGGCTATTACGCTGAAAATGAAAGCAAAATAGAAAGGGGTTCCTGCCAAATGTTAAAGCCAAGTTAAGGAATATATGAAATTTCCATTAATAAGAACATATGTAAGCCAATTTCATCATTGGTGCCTAAGAACCTCTCTTCTCTGCATTCTATCCCCACCTTTCCTTACATATACACATACCTACTCTCATATCTGTTTCTATCCTATGTTCTAATTCTATAGGAATTTGCTCCTGGTTGGCTAATAATTAATACTTCCTCATTAGTTGAAACTCATGTTAATTATTGATAGAATAGTCACAACTTATGAGGAACATCCTGAAGACTCAAAAATATTCAAGACCAAATAAATTAATCTCTAATGGTTTAACTGTGGCTCTCCTATGAGCATTTAGAAAAATATTCTGATTATTTTAACAAAATCATTCAAAGAAACAAACCACTTGGTTCAGAGATTCCAACTAAAAATATTTCCCTATATATTAGATAAATGCTTGCAAAAGTCTCCTTCTGGCAAGTTCAGTAACTAATCCTTGTAACTGTATTAGGCTGAATGAATTTAGAAACAAACAAAAGAAACTGTTCTTGCAAAATGATTACAAATCACATACTGTTTGGGAAAGTCAGATATAACGGATAAATTAAGATAAAAAGTGTTCCAAGGATAAACATTACTTGCTTTGAAATGTTTTCAAAGTGGTACAAATTCTTTGTATAAAAAATAAAACTTTCCTCCAGGGAAAGATAAATGAAAGTGCAGTAATAAATCAATAAACCAGTAGTAAACCAAATAAACGTCCTTGCCTAAATGAAATCATTATTGACACAGTAACTGTATCTACCTTCCAAGGGGTAGCCAAGCTATCTTGTGCCAAACTTCAGAGTGGGAAAGGCAGCCATAAAATAGACTCTAAACCCTTGCTATTCAAAGTGCGGCCCATAGAACTACAGCAATAGCTTCACCTGGAAGCTTGTTAGAAAAGAACAACCTCAGGCCCCATCCTAGATCTATAGAATCAGACTCTGAATTTTAACAAGATTCCCCAGGGGCTTCACACATATTAAAATTTGAGAAGCATCCCTCTAACCCACAAAGACCAGCACAACCATATCTGGTTTAGACAGGCAGAACAAATATTATTGGCTTAATTTGTCACAGTTTATCTACAAGTGGGCCTAGCTTTAAGAAAGAAGAGATGGGGGCCAAAGAAGTTGTGTGAAATATAATTTTAATAAAGTTTACACAGAATGAATTAAGAACAAACACTAATAAACGGAATATAGGGCAAGACCTTTTGTTAAAGAAACATATCCTATTTTTTTCCATAAAATCCTGGCCAACTTATATGACATGTTCTCAAAAACTCTTTCATTTGAATCATACAATAATCCTGCACATTGAGCTGACTGAATTTTGGGCTGCTCTTCTAAATAACTTATAAAACAAATCCCAGGAGAACCACTGAATTCCCCACTCTCCAAGTGAACTGCTACCCCCTTACACAGAAGCCAAACACATTCCTTGCCTCTGAGCCTTTGTCTGTGTGGTTCGCTAACCTCAAACATTCCCCATGTCCTCTCATTTACTTTTTTTTTTAGACAGAGTCTCACTCTGTTGCCTTGGATAGAGTGCACTGACATCATCGTAGCTTACTGTACCCTCAAATTCCTGGGCTCAAGCAACCTCCTGCCTCAGCCTCCTGAGTAGCTGGGACTATAGGTGTGTGCAACAACACCCGGTTAATTTTTCTATTTTTAGTAGAGATGGGGTCTCACTCTCACTAGGCTGGTCTCGAATCCCTGAGCTCAAGTGATTCCCACTCAGCCTCACAGAGTGCTAGTACTACAAGCATGAGCACCTGGCCTCATTTACTTCTAAAACCACACTTTTCACATGTCCAAGTCCTAAATACCTTTAAGACCTAACTTATAGTCTCCTTCCCCTTGTAAGTATTTTCTGATTCCCTAGAAAGAAGGATTCTCCTCCCTTCCCTAAACTTAAAAATGCTTTTTCTATAGCACTTAGACCTTGGACTAGTTATTTATAGACACATCAGCCTCTCCAGTAAGCCATGACACTTTTGTAGTTTTGTAGTTAAAAAGTATCTCAATATGGAGCTAAAATGTGCCTTTCTATAACTTTGACCAAATGGTTTTCATTTGAGATATATATATATATATATTTTTTTAGATATACTCTACATAAACTATTCCCTCACTTTTTCAATAGCTGTTTATTGAGTGCTCATTCTATATGGTGCATTGGCTTCCCAATGATAGACTTACAAACATTTGAAGTTGGAAGGCAGTGATCAGGATAAACAGCAACACTATTCCTTATATGACAGTTTCCTGGTCACGTTCCTCTGTTTGTGCTCCTATTTATCATTATCTCTTTAAAAAGAATAAAATTCAAAACAGAGCAAACACCAGGACAGAGGACAGTGAGTTTGATGCTGTCCTTTGCTTGCATACTCAAATCCTTGTAATAAAATTTCAGAATATACTGGCTTCCTTGACATTCACTACCACACTGGGCATTATGTCATAGCTCCTGATTTATTTTCACTTGACCAGAAGCTGTATTATATGTTACCATAACATGCACTTGTACAGCTGATTTTCTGAAACCAAATACAGGACTTCACATATATTTATCCCTCTTAAACTTAACTCAGTTACAGCCAGCATCACAAATCTAACATTCAGTTTACCATTTCTTTCCTGTGTCTTAATTTTATCTTCAAACTCATCAGTAAGGTCCTATTCTCTCACTCAATCCCCTCTCATAAAAGCCAAATACATTACTTGCTGAACATATAAAAGGCACCAAAAGAAACTGATTATCTGAGGAGCCTACAGTTGCCCTTAAAATTAGTTTCAACATGCAGCTTTCCACAAAGACTTTATTCATAAGCGTGATTAATAATAAAATACTAGGTATTATCATAGAATGCCAGTCCTGCAATGGGGACCATGGCCAGCACTTTACAGTCATCCTTACAGCCATGCCATGGGCTTGGTACCGTTACCCCCAATTTACAGAAAAACTAAGTCTTGGTGAAATTAAATAATATGTTCAATGGTACATAATTAGTAAGAAAAAGGGCTCAAACTGAAAATCATTCTGTCTGATTCCAAAGACCATACCCTTTCTACAGTGCCCCAGAACATCTTCTCATAGTAGACCAGTATCCACGGCAGCAGAAGCCCCCATTCAATCCAGACTCAGCAACCTGAGACAAAGCTAGCCTAAATACTTAGGACTGGTCTTTACAGGGCAGCACCACAGTTCAACTGAAGGGCAGTTCTAACAGCATTTAACATTTACCTTAAAAAACATTAATCTGATAGTGAAGTATGCCATCTACTGACACACAGGCCCTTACGAGTAACAGGTTCATATGGGTACCTAGATCAAAAGGCTTTAGGTTACACAAGCAAGTAAAATATTCAATCTTGTTAATTCTAACATCTTAAGAGTCTGTCGAGCTATGGTAATCAGTTCTTCTGATGTAATAGCATCTTCACAAATATTGGACAGCTTCTATTAACAGTTAAACTCAATTGAATATTATCTTCTATAATTGAGGTTTTCATACTACAGTAGAGTTACATTTTTAAATTTTGATTTTGCAAATATGCAATAATTCAATATAAAAGTTTGTGCAAATCTGAAATAATATAAGTTGCTCAAATTAAAAAAAAGTTATCAAAAACACAATTTTTAAAATTGCCACATGGGTTGGTAAACAAAAATATCAGCGCTCTCTCCTCAGTTTCATGTCAGTTACCCTAGAATTTATTAGCCTGGGTCTTCTGTAAGTGACATTGGTGTATACTGTGTTGTTGTTTGATACACTCATGGTTACTTACAAAATATTTTTATATCATATAATAATATCATCCAAATCTTCATTAAGTGGTGGTAATAAGGCTAGTGCTTAAGAAGCTGCCACCAAATCAGTAATTATGAAACAAAGAATAGACATAATAAAATCTTTTTTAAAAAGCCAAATGGCATCCATGGTATGTTATGCCATTCATTTTTAAAAATCTGAAAAATATTAGAGAAAATGCTCAGAAATAGAAAGCAGCATTAAAGCAAAGACATGCTATATAGATTGTATGCGCTCTGAGAATGCATATGTCCATCTCACTTCACATTTATTCCTATGAAAAAAATACTCTTGAACTGAGTTTGTGTATCTCCCCTATAAACATTCTGTTCTTGCTTTTCAGAAATACTACTACTAGAAGGAGAAATAACATAGAAGTTAAAGGAATACGCTAAAAGGTACATTTCTATCTACAACATTTCTTCTTGCCCTACCTTGTAAGCAAAGCAAGGCTATAATGCCTTCCTGGGGTCCTCAGAAGGGGAGAAGGGAGTATGGAAAGACATGGGAAGATTGAAAATGCCTTCCACTTAATGGGAGTTATAAATGGCTATAGCCCAAGAAATAACCGCCTTTCCCCACTTCTAGGTGACCGGACTTGGCCAACTTAGGACAAGGCACCCCTGAGCTGGACTTGGACCTGGAACCTGATCCTCAAGTGATAAACCTATTCCTTCCCTGAGTTTTCCTAAATCACAGGCTGCCATTCATTAGTAGGTTATGAAAGAATTAAGTGGGATGTGACTAAAATTACTTTTTTTACAGAAAATAGGATGAAATAACAAAATAGGGTAAAGCACATGTTAGGAATATTATTTTCTGAAACTTTTGTTTCACTTATATTTTGAGTGGCAAAGTAAATTTATTTTTACAGTAGATTGAGAATTACTCCCTGAGATAATACCACTGCCACTTACCATTACTAAGGAAGCCACATTTTTACTGATATACCTCCCATACAGGCCATCCTGGCACCCAAAGGATTTTTCAATCAACTGTAGCTACTGATCAAGTTAAGAGAACTATCTTACCTTGAAGAAATCTCAAGGCAATCCAACAAATCATTATAGGTCTAAGTTAAACAATAATTCATTCTACTGTTCCCCTCCTATGAGTAATAAATGCTAGACACCTACTGTTTCCATAGTGTGCTCTGAGATTACTTCCAGAATCGAGCAGATTTTCAACATTAAACATCTTCCACTGGTATCATTAAATAAATGCAAATATAAGTTGCATTCCCTGGATCTTTTCCAATATTTAAATTACTAACAATGGCATTACTATTTTTTAAAGGCAAAATGAGATGTGCATCTAAATTTGAGCTAAAAGGATATTAGGAAAGAATAAGATGAACCAAGTCATAAATATCCAAAAAATGGAACTTAGCAGAAAGACTGCTGGTAGGTATATAAGATTCTTATATCCAACGAAGAACCTATAAGAAAAAAGATAAACAGAAGGAATTAGTGAAACAAAGTATTAGTATGACTCATTTTAATTTTAGTTCTAAATTTCCCTAAATAAAGATAGTAATAATAATAATAGCAGCAGCAGCAATAGCTGTCACTTACTGAGTGCTTACTATGTGTCGTTTTCCATGTGGTAATGGAATTATGCGCCATCGTCACCCCATTTTACACATGAGAAAACTAAAGCATGATGACTTCCAAGAAGTATATGTTCTAGTTCTAACTGACTTATACATTATTTCATTCACAATAACTTAATATATATTTTCAATGAATCTTTTGTATTTCTACTGAGATAGATATTTGTATTTCTTTTTTTGTATAACTTATTCTTAAATATTCCAAAATGCAAAAATTTAGACACCTACACATTTCATAAGCTTTCTTCCAAAGGATGGTAGTATATTTATGAAACACATGGATGCACACAGCCTTAAGCATTTTCATTCTGCAACCACCTTGAGAAGCAGATACTTTATACGAAAAGATACATAAGCTAAAAGTGACACTAGTCATCAGAACACTAACAATCTTCTTTGGGTAACAAGCAACTTAAAGTCTACATACAACTTACTCAAAATGTTTAAAATTACAGTTTCAAAATAAAAAAATCTGTCTTTCACACTAAATACTTAATATAGTCACCCTATGCATGAATATAGCTTACCTGGATATATTTCTAAATTTATACCAAGAAAAAAACAATGGTTAATGGTAGATATGAAGGGTTAAAAAAAAAAAAAGCTACCAGGGCCAGGCTTGGTGGCTCACTCCTATAATCCTAGCACTCTGGGAGGCCGAGGCAGGTGGTCATTTGAGCTCAAGAGTTTGAGACCAGCCTGAGCAAGAGTGAGACCTCGTCTCTACTAAAATAATAGAAAGAAATTAGCTGGACAACTAAAAAAAAAAACATACACACACACACACACACACACACACACACACATAAATTAGCTGGGCATGGTGGCACATGCCTGTAGTCCCAGCTACTTGGGAGGCTGAGGCAGGAGGATCGCTTGAGCCCAGGAGTTTGAGGTTGCTATGAGCTAGGCTGACGCCACAGCACTCTAGCCTGGGCAACAAAGTGAGACTCTGTCTCAAAAAAAAAAAAAAATAAGAATTACATTAAAAAAAAACCTACCAGGATCATAACCGCAATTATGATAAGATCTTATTTATTTATTTATTTATAATTTTTTTTTTTTGAGACAGAGTCTCACTCTGTTGCCCGGGCTAGAGTGCCGTGGCACCAGCCTAGCTCACTGCAACCTCCAACTCCTGGGCTCAAGCAATCGATCCTCCTGCCTCAGCCTCCCGAGTAGCTGGGACTACAGGCATGTGCCACCATGCCCGGGTTATTTTATATGTATCTATATATATATACACACACAAACACACACATATATATATATATATTTTTAGTTGGCCAATTAATTTCTTTCTATGTTTAGTAGAGACTGGCGTCTCGCTCTTGCTGAGTCTGGTCTCCAACCCCTGACCTTGAGCAATCCTCCCACCTCGGCCTCCCAGAGTGCTAGGATTATAAGCATGAGCCACTGTGCCCGGCCAAGATCATATTTAAGAAAAGCTAAAGATCCCAAACCTCAGACATTCAAAATGATGCCAAAATAGGCCAAATGGATCCCATGTAACTTCCAGGTTATAGCCTGAGATTCTGTAGCAAAAAATGCATTTGGGCCTAATTAGGTAGTGCAGTGAACTACCTATTTTGCAAGAGCCTTATGTTAATACTATTACTACTACCTGTCTACTTCTGACAAGTATCACATAACACCTAGATCTATAAGCAACTGCCCCTTTAATAATAATAGAAGTTTGCAGCTGCTTACCTCTATGAAATTGAGACTGCTCCTATCGAGGAGTATGAGAAAAATAAAAGCAGAATGGTAAAATTGCCACATGCATTTGGCTCACATTTAAATTGTGTCCATATGCCAAGCATACTAGATTAAGCCCTCAACTCACTGTCATCAAGAAAAAGTTTTTGTATGTTTTTTTAAATAATGTAGGTTCCAACTAAAACAAACAAATAACCAAAAAAAAATCTGAAATGCTCCTATCATGGGTGACTAGATGTTGCCATCTCTTCTTCCTCCCTGAAAAAAAGAGCACTGATTGTGATTCCTAGTGATTTGGCTTCAAATTTATTTAGATACTGAGTCAATCCAATTAGCAGAAAATGAATGAATATCTCTACATGGCAAATTTTCGGAATAATGGACAAACAGGCATTTTGCTGTTTTTGAGAAATGTGAGATTTTACTTTACACTTAAATTCTAATTCATTTCCAACCACTTGTCCTGTTCTTGAGTGACACAGTAGCAAGATTCCTCTAATACTTTGTTTTCTCTTATGACAAAGCAGGGCAGGCTTATTCCAGAAAATGCTGGCAAGCAACAGAAGGATATAGGAATACTCATAATCACACCCTGCAGAGAGCAACACTTATTTCCTTTTAGATCCTTTTCTATGGATCATCATCATTACATTTTTCTTTCACTGTCAATGAAAATGTTTAACAGCAGAAACAAGGTTCCTGCTTGTATGAGCCTTGTATTGTAGGAAAGTGATTAAGTGCTATAAAAAAACAGGGTGAGGGAGCAGAGTCAGTAAGGGGTGGCCTCACTAAGGAGATGATGTCTGAACTTAGGCCTGAATGACATCTCCAGCTATGCAGAAGAAGGTGAAGTGCAGTGAGGGTAAAGGGATAGCTGAAGTCAGTGGGGAGGGAATGGAATCCCCTAATACCTCATAGGCAAGGAGTTTGGACTTCATTCTAAGTACAAGAAAAAGCTACTAGAGGGCTTTAAGCAGGGAGAAAAGACAGACACTGATCTGCCTTTCTAAAAGACCACCTTGGCCGGGCGCGGTGGCTCATGCCTGTAATCCTAGCACTCTGGGAGGCAGAGGCGGGTGCATTGCTCAAGGTCAGGAGTTTGAAACCAGCCTGAGCAAGAGAAAGACCCCGTCTCTACTAAAAATAGAAAGAAATTAATTGGACAGCTAAAAATATATAGAAAAAATTAGCTGGGCATGGTGGCACATGCCTGTAGTCCCAGCTTCTCGGGAGGCTGAGACAGTAGGATTGCTTGAGCCCAGGAGTTGGAGGTTGCTGTGAGCTAGGCTGATGCCACTGCACTCTAGCCCAGGAAAGAGAGTGAGACTCTGACTCAAAAAAAACCCCCCAAAACAAAACACCACCTTGATTGCTAAGTAGGGGTGAACCACAGGAGGAAAGAATTGAAGTCAGGAGATCAGTGAAAAGGCTTGGTTTGGGGTGCCTGTTGTGGAGACAGAGAGAAGCAGAGCAAGAAGCACTTGGCAATGGGCTGGATGTGGGAGGTAAGGAAAGGATGACAGGAATCCAAGGATGACACCCCTATTTGTGTGAGAAATTGGATGCCATTTTACTGAGAAAGGGAAGAGAGAAGAAGAAGAGATGGGGGTGTGATATGATTATTGAGTACTATGTGTCAGCCACTGTTGTAAGCATTTACTTATATTAACACGATATAGGCACTATTGCAATAATTATCCTCATTTTATAGATGAAGAAATTGAGGCACAGAGAAGTAAACCAACTTGTTCAATGTCAGACTACTGTGTGGTAAAGCTTGACTTGAATACAGGCAACCTGACTCTTAACCATTAACTATATATAATCATGTATAAATCTTTTCCTAAAAATAAAACCATACCAATATTTATCATTTTATAATCTCCCACAATTTAATTAGGTTGCTTTAACTAAAAATCACTGACAGCAAAAAGAACTAGCTTAAAATGAATTTAGATTTAGAAAATAAAGGAAACATACAATTTCTGAAAAAATGAGCAAAAATGCTTGCTTTAAAATACAAAATGATTACAAAAATCTCCCCATTATTCACCAAAACTAACAATTCAAAAAGTGACCCAGGATATTTATTTTCCACCAATTGTCAATTCAATCAAATTACTGGCTTGGACAATTTGATTTCAATCAAATCATATGCTACCAAAGCCCTTTTATAGGGCTCCCACTAACCCTTGGAATGTTTTTATGTGGTAAGTAACATTTATAGTTTGATAAAAATCTGTGATTCCAGCTAATCAACAACAGAAATAAGCAATTAAATTGGAAATACAATAACCCGCCTTGCAAAGACTAACATACACACCTTGGAAACAAAGATGTCAGAAAAAACAATGTTATTAGAAGACATCCTTTTAAAAGCCAAGAATCTGAATTGAAGTCCAATATGTATCCAACAGCCCACATGGTAATCACAGAAAGCATCAGCAGCAGGAACAGCTATTAAGAGATGTAGAATTTGAGCATGTTATGGATTTTACCTAAGCATCTAATAATAATTAGTTCAATATTAGAACTACTTCCTAAGTATGTAATAACAATTAATACAACAACAAAACTAACAGTTTTTCTTCAAAACTGGTGACTGATAAATTTGAAGTTTGAGAAATTATACATCTTGGAAACAATCTACATTTTATAAAATATTGCTTAAACATTTTGTTCTGCTGTTCTTCCCTACAAGAAATGGTGGTCTTTTAGAAAAGTGCTAGTAAAAGCTAAAGTTAAAAAAAATTATCTCTTGCAAACAGCATTCTATTAATATGTCAGAAAGCATAAGGCAAGCTAAAGGGACCACACAAAAATCAATATACCCAAGACTCAATGAGGGGAGTATAAGAGCTCCAACCTGGGTACCAGATGGTGCCATCCCCTAATAAAGAAGATTAGACAGAATAAGTCTGCAGAAAAGATGAGTTTTGTTTGGGGAATGAAGAATTTTAAATGTCTAGATATCTACAAGGTAGTATAAAAAAGGAGGT